TCTTCCATATAGGGGCTCGGTGCGCTACGTCTGGCAGCAGGAAGCATGCCCAAATCGAGCGCTAGATCCTGGCAACACGTCTTATGTGCGTGGCCGTGCTCAAGTCGCTGACACAACGCACAGCAATCGCAACTACGAAAGTGATTGGGCCAACTTCTATCTACAAACACGTCTCTGAGAAATCCACAATTCACTCACGTCGCCGCCGTCATCGGCGTCGCCATCGAAGGTATCATCAGCATCGCCGTCGCCGCTGTCGACGCGATTGCTCCAAAGGGCTTCGAAGCATTCCAAGGATGGCCCGAAGTTTGCAATAAGTTTGAGATTGCCGCCTTTTCTATCCACCCCCTTTGCGTCACTCCTGCTCCCTTACTTTTCTTCTGTCAATTCACTTGAAAATCGTATCTCATGGGCTGGTGGGGATACGCCAAGCGTCAAAATGCTGGTGCGATCGTGAACAACATGTGCCCGCTCCACTGACATGTGGCTACCCCATCCCCGCCTCCTCATGCGCAGACCTGGGCACGGATAAACACCCCGGTTGCTGCGGCGACGCAGTCCTTGCCAGCAGCACGAGGCGCCCGAAAGAGCTGGGTCGGGAACAAGAGGGAACAGCTTATTCACTGGCAGCGGTGCGAACAACATGCACATAGACACACTCACGAGTGCACACACACAGAAAAACGCACACAAAACAAATATCCTGGCGAAGAACCCGATCATACGCTGCCGTGAATACCGCGTTGTGGGTACCGCTTTCGGTAAAGCTCCCTGTGGGGCCACGAACCGTGTCACGGGTGTGCCGACATGGCCGTCAGGCGCAAGCGAACCCCGCCACTGGGGCAGAGGCCTTCGGTGGAGCTCCCTATGTGGCCACGAACCGTTGGAGAGGCGCGCCAAAATGGGCGTGTGGCGCATGCGGACCGTGCCACTGGAGCCTTCGGTCGAGCTCCCCATGAGGCCAAGAACTGTGTGAGGGGTGTGCTGACATGCGCGTTGGGCGCATGCGGACCCTGCCACTCAAGCCTTCGGTGGAGCTCCTATGGGGCCACGAACCGTGTGAGGGGTGTGGCAAAATGGGCGTCGGGCGCATGCGGGCCTTGCCACTGGGACCTTCGGTGGAACTCCCTCGTGGGGCAACGAACCGAATGGGTGTGCCAAAATGGGCGTTGGGCGCATGCGGACCCGGCAACTGGGGCCCTCGGTGGAGCTCCCGATGGGGCCACGAACGAACTGTGGCCAAAGTGGGCGTCGGGCGCATGCGGGCCTTGCCTTTGCGGCCTTCGGTGGAGCTCGGGCCACAAACCATGTGACTGGTGTGCCGACATGGGCGTCGGGCGCATGCGGATCCTGCAACTGGGGCCTTCGGTGGAGCTCCCTTATGGGGCCACGAACTGTGTGAGGGGTGTGCCCAAATGGGCGTCGGGCGCACGCGGACCCTGACACTGCGGCCTTCGGTGTACCTCCCTATGTGGCCACGAACCGTGTGAGGGGTGTGCCAAATCCGCCGACCCTGTCGGCGTGTGTGAGGGGCTTGTCCGTTCAAGTCGTCATCTCCGTCATTCGTTGGTCGTCGTCTCTGTTGTCCCCTTTCCCTGCCTCCCCCCTTTCCCTGGGCTCGTCGAAACACCCCCCCTCCCCAGGGGCCTCCTCAACGCGCCAGCCAAAGCAAGGTTGAGCAACGTCGAAATTGAGTCGAAGGGAAGCCCCTTCCCTTCATCCCTCTCCCGCCAAGGGGGTGGGTGGGGGGTGGGGGGGGGGCCCACGGTGTTGGCGGAATCGGCGCAGCAGTAATATCAGGAAGTTCCGACGATGATATCTATCTCTCACCACAGCAAGATGAATCTTATAATGTAACTGTCACCACGGCCTCGCTAGCCGTGCAGAAAGGTGTGGCTCCTTGGGCCACGTCAAACAAGTGTTAAGTATGAAACTCCCGCCCTTGAGCCAAAGCCACGACAAACACGGGCCTCGGGCAGGTAGAGCACAGGACTGAAAACATATAGCTAACACCGGCTATACTCTTCTCAGTCCTGAAACTACATGTATCGAGACCGCATGAGACTGCGAGTCGAATCAGAAAGAAAAGAATCATCACATAAAGACTCCAAGGGATCCAAAAAGCCTCCCTCGTCTCCAATGGCGGCCTCCACTGGTGCATCTGCGAAAGCACCATTGCCGTCGCGCTGTCTCCAACGTCCACTTTGGAACATCTCATCAAAAGTGCACTTCCAGCGCTGTGTAGTCAAAAATTTTTCCATCACATGTCGAGCCGGATATCCCGGCTTCGACAAACTGTCTGCCAGCATCGCTAGACCATTCACCCATCGAATAGAAACGTCCGTGCGCAAAAATATGCTCCTTAATGCCTCTGGCCTCCTCACCTGATCTGAAACGGCGCATGCCCAGCTGAGGAGACTCTGACTTCAAAATCGCATCATAGATGCCACGTGAATCTGTAATGAACATCCCTGGTACTGTCTTGACTGCGTCGTCCAACTTCCAACGAGTCGGCTCAACTCCATGTAACTCTGCCGACAACAATCTGGATAACCATAGCACCTCGTCACAGAACGCGGTCGACTGCGTCTCGTTGTTGTTGGAGCCCGAGATTTTACTAGGTAGCTTGAAAGATCCCCAACCCAATATGGAAACATTTGCCATGCTGCCGTTCGCAAAGTCAGGGGTCGAGAGACCTGTCACCAGCCCGCCAGTCTTGCTGCCGTCGGGCCTGAGCTTGTCACTAGCATCGGCCCACTGCACCATCCATAACTCATGCCAGTCGTAGTTCTCGAGCTGGTGGAACTTGATCACCTGCGAAGCGGATTTTCGCATATCCTTGACAAGCTTGTTGGCGTTCACCAGGTCACTGATCTTGGCGTTGTTGACGTGAGATAATGCCAGCCCAACATCCACGGCATATTGTGGAGACACTTGTTGTGCTCTCCAACTGGCTGTACCCAGTACTCCACGAAGTAGTGAAATCTCTTTCGGCTCGAGTGGTAGATGAGCCTGCTTCTTGCGATCAGCGTCGATCTCGGCCTCCGTGATGAATGTGTTCGTGTAGTCGTAGAGGTCCAACGTGATCGAAAAAAATCCTTGAACTGGCGGACGCGTAGTCCACTGAATTCAGCCTGACCGGAAGTCCATGCTCCCCATCGGTAGAGGTGCCTGATGGCCTTCTCCGCGTCCTCGTACAACTTCGACGTCTCGTCGCCACCAATGATGAAGTCATCCACGTGGACGCCAATGATACCCGTCAACTGGCTATTGGAGTCCAACAGAATCCACACGCATTGATCTGCACGTAGTTGTCGCCAACCTCGGCCCCGAAGTTTGCGTGAGATATCAAGCCACCATGCTCTCGGAGCCGTTGTCAAGCCATAGAAAGACTTGACCATCTTCAAAATCTGCGAGGGGCGCCCAAGCTCATGCGGAAAGGCATGAGCCACTTCCGTAGGAACCTTCACATTGAGACTCTCGAACTCCTCGCTCGCATCGGTCTGGAGGAAGGCTGAACTGACATCGCCGAACTTAAGCTTGAACTTGTGCTGCGCGCACATCTGGAACAGCAGATTGCGAGCCAGCTTCCCCAGCGTAGGCGCCACCGTAGCGAGATCCGTCAGGCTCGGGTGCTGGTAGCCCAAAATGACGAAGCGAGCCTTCGGCTTGCGTGCGCCACCCTCCTGGTACTTGTAAGTGAGAGCCCAGCGCATCTTGAGCAGTCGCGACTCGTCGATCTCAGTGAGCTCCTCCTGGGCGATCCGCTTCAGGACCTTGGTCGCAATAACTTGGCTGATCTCCTTGCACATAGCCTCGTCAAGTTCAAGCTGCTGCCCAGGCGCCAACTTGGAATAGGTGACTTCTGTCGCTCTGCCGCCGCCTAGCCTCTTGGAAAGCCAGACCGTAGAGTCTTGAAGGAAAACTCCAATGTGAGCGAAATCGGTCGCGACCTCGATAACTTCACGCTCAATGGTCGTGTCCTTCAGGTAGACCACGGACTGATGGTGTAGGTTGTCCCATGCCTCCAGGTACCTGACCTCGCCCACGACGTCGCACGTCATGAAATCCATCTCGCCGAGCTTGATGCGCTTGGCCTCTGGCTCCGTTAAGTCACGTTTATCTGCTTCACTAGTGGGGGCCTCCCCTGCAGGATCCTGGCTTCCCGCGAAACCCTCTGCGACCGGCCCGTCCGCAGAGTCGGGTCCCACCCCAAATGGCTCTGCCGGGCTACCCTCTCGGGGAGCTGCCACGGCTTCGTCGCCAATCGGAGCACCTGCAGGGCCACTGGTGATTTCCTATGGTATCGCCGAGGTCTCTCCTGGTCCATATAACGCGTCGTAGGGAGAGGCCTTGTGCTTCAACCGGACCCGTCTGATCGGCTCCCAGTCCTGATCATTATTGATTTGGTCCCCTTGGTGAAAATCTCGACCTGTTCCATCCTCATCTTCTGGCACGGGCACTCGGGACAAATCTGAAGGATCCTCTCGAGGGACTGGATGTAGGTTTGCACCGTCGTCTCCAGCCGGAGCACTATCATGAAATTCGTGACGATCTCCTTGGCGAAAATCTTCACCTGGTCCTGGTTGCTCTGGTAAATCTGCAAGGCTCTCCGCAATCTCGCGCTCCGAGGGCAGGTCGCCTGCCAAGTCGGTAAACTCACCGCGCCCAGCACCTTGAAAAACATTGGATGCGTTGGTCGGTGAATCTTTGTCAATGTTACCCTTGAGCGAAGCCACGACCACCTCACGCTGACTGCTCGACCTCAGCTGTGTCGGATGACACCGAATGAGTCTCGTGCCATGCACGATCCACACCACCGAAATCTCGTCCTCGATCGAAGCGGATTCGCCCGCACGTTCAAACTTGAAGTTGACCTTCGGTTCGATGGCCAAAACTCTCGCAAGTCCAAACCACGAACCTCGGGATCCGGTATTCTTGCCGCGACGGAAGTACACGATCCAGTCGCCGATCTTGATCGAGAGAAGCTTCTGCCTCATGGAGTGCCGAAGCCGAGTCGCCACTGAACGAGCCTGCTCCTCCAGGTAGACCCGCTCGGCCAAGAGTCGATGAAGTTCGGTGCGTGCCAAACCGTCCCCATCCAGGCGACCAGCCTCTTATGCAAACTGGTAGCCCTGGTGGTTAGAACCGTGCGCCCACTGGACTGGTGTGTAGCCCGACGCCTTGTGCTGGTTGTTGCGAGCGGCGCAGGCTAAGGACACGCAGTCAGATAACGATAGCGTCGGCTCGTCTAAGGAGATGCGGCGTGCGGTCTTCTTGATCTGACTTATAAGAATCTCCAAGTCAGCCGTAAGACCGTGGAACTCGCCTGCGCTCTGGATGATGCCCACGGCGATCTTGCCACACCACTCGCGCAACTGGTTGCTCACAAAGGCGCCACCCGGGTCCGAAATCAAGAACTGGCACCGCGGCTTGCGTTGCCACCAGTCCTCCAGGAACGCCGACAACACTTGGGCGCCTGACGGCTCGAAATAAGCCTTCTTCCCCTTAGTATCCACTTCCTTGAAAACACTGCGAACTGCCAACTTGCAGGCCGCGTCCATATAGAGCACCGCGAACAGCTTCCTGTGGTGCACCTCCAGCTCGAAGCAGTCGAGCTTCACCATCTGCCACAGCTTGGGTGGCATAGAGAGTGACACCACGGCTTGGTGCTGCGTGTCCTGTGTCTCGGCGCAGGCATCGCAGATCAGCTCGTCCACGAGCGCCTGCTGCCAACTAGGACACCCGCGTCTCTGGAGCATCGCCTTCATGTTGGTCTTGGACATATGTCCACCGAGAACAGGGAGGTCCTTCAACCAGGATTTGACCTTGTCGAGCGTGACGTTGTCCTCCGGCATCTTCTTGACATGCTTATTCATGCCCGACTCGATGCCATGCAGGTGCTGCTCGTCGTCCTGCAGCGCACTCATGGTCCAGAAGTCCTCCGCGAAATCCTGACCACGCAGGTCCTTCACGAAGCCCGTGACCAATATCCGAATCATCGGTTCTGGAAAGTAGGCCGACGCCGCCACAGCGTCGTGACCCTCGAACGTGCTGTGAGGATGATCCTTAGCACAGCGTAGCGCCATCCACTGCGTGAAATTCTCGTCACTGGTGAGAATGCCCCAAGACTTGCTCCTGAGCACGCCATGGTCATCGCGCATGCCGACTTGACACGCGTCGACTCTGACCATGCGGAGAGATCGCCCGAGGATCTTCTCCGCCTCGCGCCTGAGCCGGTTGAGCTCTGGTGTAGACCAACCACTGGACTTGTGCGGCCACTCCCAGTATATATCACCATTGTGTCGTAGAGTCTCCAGGGCCATATCCACACAGTGTCCATTCATGGCGCGAGCCCGAAGTCGCGATCGTAGAAGGTTCTCCCAATTGCCAGGTCGTCGTTTGTGTTCGGGGGTAAGGTTCTGCATCAACGAGAAATAGGTACATGGTGTCGAAAACCACGCCTTGCGAGGACACGCCGTCTATAACCATCCCTTGGCACGACTGGTGTCGTCCTTCTTGTTGAGGTCGTAGCCCTGCTCCAGGTTGATGCGCTGACAGTGGAAACCTTCATTCAACAGACCGGCTGTCAGCCTCGAAGTTGGAGAACACGCGACTTCAGCAAAGTCTACTCGCATTGCCGAGCCTGTCTGCACAAGGCCCAGCATCAGTCCATTCACGAGCATGCTCAGCGCCGTCATGCCGCTCTGGATCGCGCGGCGCTGCTTGAGCGAAACTTGCTTCACTTCATGAGGACATCCCCCATGTCTCCCGGCACCGGCATCGCCGCGAAATCCTCCTGCTTCACCTCCGGCTTCAGCCCCAGGCGCCTGACTCCCCGTGTCAGGACGGCCCACTTGATGAGGAGGTTCTTCTGCTTGGTCGCGAGCGTGGGCGTCTCGTCCGGGTCCGCCGCGGCACCCGAGACCACATCCCACGTGCTGCTGCGGGGTGTTGAATCCGATGCCGCAGAGCTTGGGTCCGCTCCGACCGCGCGCACGGTACGCACCGCAGTCGGCACTCCGGTAGTTGGTCTGGTTGCCGTCGGCAGTCTCCCTGGATCGGTCTTGATCTCGAGCTTGACGCCCTCGGTTTTTGTCGTGCGGGCTGTCCAGTAGCCCTCCTTGTTCGGGTCGCTCCTGATGTAGTGCCCCGTCTCGATGATGCGCTCCGCCTCGATGGCCTTCATGTGCCCCTCGACCCTCGCGGCCGTCGGCGCGTCGCCCGACTCCTGTAGTCGCCGAAGGGCCACCGTGACCAGGGCCATCTTCGGCTCCTTGCGGTACTTGCCGCTGCACCCTTTCTTCGGAGCGTAGTCCAGCCTGAAAGCACACGTCTCGCACGTCAGCCACACTCCGAAGCGGTTGTTGGTGTTGCTCGACACGGTGCGGGTCCCCTGGCACGGCCAGCTGGTCATGCGAGGACCCCTCGGATCGGCCCCCTTGCTGAGAGACCAGTCCGTCTGCTCTGCCGCCGCACATGGTAGATCGGGGTAGAGCCTCTTGTCGCCCATCAGGACAAAACATGGAAGATTGAAAAGCACTGAGCTTATCTCGAATACCCTGGAGCCGAAACGCCAATGATGCGGTCGGCGTTGGACGAAACCAGATTTCGGTACGAATCGCACTGACCCCATCTGGCAGTGGGCGGCAAAGCCACCTCCAAGGGGTTGCAATCGTCACTGGACCGTCGTCAATAACCACCGAACTGTGTAAACACGTCGTCCTACGCCAGCACATCCCAAAACGTCGGGCATCATCAGGGCGATCGAAGGTTCTAAAGATTCGAGAAAACCAATCTTCTCGAACATATCTGCTGAGTTCCTGTTCATATGGTTCTGGACTGTGTCCCGTCACATGGTTTACCATATTAATTCATGGTATGGTGTAGTGTAATCTGTTTCCCGCCGTTGATGCTTAACATTCTGCAACTGTAGTCGTACCCCTATCATCAGACCACCCAGGCCGATATCCTGATACTGTGCTCCCTCTTTTCTCTGGTCACCTGTGAGTCCAGGGGAGAACGGAACTCCGGTGCGCTGTCCCTAGCTGCCGGCCGAACTCAAGACGTCCAACAAACGGTGGCCGCCCTTGCCCTTCCGGAGCTGAACCTTCGTGGTCTTGTCGTCGCTGAGGTAGATCTCCAGCTCGTTCCTCCGAAAGGAGACGTCGTGCTGGTCCAGCCAGTCCACCCCTGCGAGCACTGGCACCTCATCAGCGTCGAGCAGGTAGATGCCCAGCCGGCCGATGGGCGCGAAGAGCCATACCCTAGACAGCGCCTGGCCCCACTGGCCATTCGCAAACTTGAACCAGGGCCTGTCGGATGCATCCACCTCGATCTTCGCATCTGGGAACTTCTCGGTGACCGCTGAAACCAACTTCTCGACGGCGTCACCTCCTCCAGCTGTTGTCGCAGCTCCGCAGTCAAGGACAAACTCCGTTGACGACGGGCACGAAAGAGACAGGATCATGTCCATGCAGAAGATGCCTCCGATGTAGTGCACCTTACCCTTCTTGCTCTTGCCCTTGGATCCGCCCTTGGCGAAGCTCTTACCCTTGCTGGAGTATCGGTCGGGACACTGCCTCCAGTAGTGGTCTGATCGACCACAGATCAGGCAACCTCGTCCTGTCGGTCCTGCCGATGATCCCTTTACTTGGTAGCCGCCCTTCTTGCCGTCCTTGCCAGAGCCCTTCTGCGGAAAGAACCCTCTGTTCTTCCTCGCCTCTGCCACCGCATTCCTGGCCTCGGAAAAAATCCGATTCGCCTCGGTGGCAAGAACCTCGGCGGCATTCACCTGCTCGTCCAAGTACGAGTCGTCATCCGTCGCATACGTAGTCATATCCGGTGCCCATGTCACTGCTGTTGCCTGTCCCCGCCGGGTCTGGCGCAATGTTCCATCCAGCGTCGTTGTTGGACCTGTCCCAAGAGCTGGATGTCCATGTCGTTTGGTCTCCCTCGTCCGCATAGAAGGCACACCACCAGACATTCTCGTTCTCATCATGACTCCAGTCGACTGTCCACGATGATTCTTCACCGCGGATCGCCGCACACATGTCGTCCATCTCCTCCCCGCTCTCGAGTGCGAAGACTCTGCCTCTGAAACCACGGCCCTGCTGCTGAGCTGGTTTGTCGCGGTCTCGCAGGTCTCGATCATCCCGAGAGGCACGAAGCTGCGTGACGATGGATTCATATCGAGTGTCGTTCTGAGTGCCTGCCAGGATCATTGGCGTTCTTCTCGACTCAGGCGAGCGTTGTGGAGGAGCCTGTACCCACGGAGCTCTGCCGCGAAGAAACTCGCGTCGGTCTCGGACCTGGCCACGGAAACTCCTGACTTGGCCGATATCACCGACTTCTTCTCCGTCGCATCTGCAGCCTCGGCGTCTTCCTCGACCTCCTCGGCCTCTTCGAACTCCTCGACAGTCGGCTCCTTGACCGTAGATGTAGCTGTTCGCCCAATTATCGTATTCGCCTGAGCCGCTTCTCGTCGCAGTCGGTCTGATCTTAGTCGCTTCAAGGCCGACCGCATGTCTCTGAACAGGTTGTCCCCTCTGATCACAAACTCGCCAATCACCTCACCGGGTCGGCGAACCACTTGATCGTAGTTGCGGATCTTCTGGTACGCGTCTGGAATCGGCATCTTACCTAGAGGACCTTCTCTCAGGTGCTTGAGCAACGCTTCGACACCTCCTGCCACGAAATCGTTCGGTCTCATATCTTTCACGGCCTCTTTCGCAGCACCCCGTAGCGCAGTCCATAGACGAGCCACGGTGAGATTCCTCTCATCCTCCTTCAAGCCAGGTCGGTACCACAGAACAGCATTCTCATAACTCTCAAAAGTTAGTGGATCTCCACTCCAGGTCGGCACCCCCTGCTCGTTAGTCTCACACCCAGCGGTCGACTTGATTGTGGGTCTCCACGATGGCTCCGCTGCCATGTTGGCGGGATCGGCGCAGCAGTAATATCAGGAAGTTCCGACGATGATATCTATCTCTCACCGCAG